CGAGTTCGTCGATGCGCCGCTGCTTCGCCGCCCGACGGATGTCACGCGCACTGGCCTTCGCCGCCGCCCGACGCGCGGCTTCCTCCACATCAGCTGCCGCCTTCTGGCGCTCCTCCTCCGCGCGTTCCTGTTCCTCGATGCGCTTTTCTTCGGCAGCCTTCGCCTGTTCTCGCCGATGCAGAATGGACGCGGCGCGCTGCGTATCCTCCTTTCGAATCGCCTGCTCGTTGTTCAAGAACTGATGAGTGAAGAAGAACTCGAACCGAGGGCCTCCATAGCGGACCATCTTTCCTATATATTCACTGGGACGTATTGCCCCTGTTCGGACACTGCGCAAGGGAGAGTAGCCGGAAAGAGAAGACAAACACAGAGAGAGAGAGAGAGAGATATCGAGAAAGAGCGGCCATGACGTATTGGGGAAACGGGGCCCATGCGATTGGGCTTCTCCCTGTTGTCCATGACTCGAGCCACCAGATAGGCTCCTTGCCCCTGCCTTCGTTTTGCTCCCCACCACCAAACAAAAGAACGGCTCTGGATCCCCTTTCTTTCATGTTTCTTTTCATTGTTGCTCTTTTATTGGCAGCCGTAGAAGTGGTCGAGCAGAGGCTTCAGGGCCGGCCCGCCCTCTTGCGCACGTGGCTGTGCTAATCCAATAACTTCTGTTGCCGTCACCCCACTCAGCCACTTATTTGTTATGGTGCAGAAGTACTCGTAGCTGCCACCAACAAAGACGCCGTCAAAAGAGACCCAACGATCCCCTGCCGCCTCTGCTAGTCGCTGCGGCCACTCGTACGGCACCATGTATCCCTCCTGCAGCGTTGCACTTCGTTCCTTTATGATGTCTCTCAGCCTTGCCGCCGCTTTCTCCCCCGCAGTGGATTCAGTTGACACGGACGACGACGCTGGCGGTGGTGGCGGCGGGCTGCTGCCCTCCTCGGTAAAGAGAACCTTCGCCCGCTGCATCGGCACATCCCACCAGAGCGGAAGCACCAGCACGTAATCAGCGACATATGGAAGCGGCGGCTTTACCTCCTTGGCTGACGCGGTTGCAGCGGCCTCTGCGTGTTGCATATCAACTAGAAGCTTTGAAAAGAGCTTTTCGCAGAGGTCCTCATCGTAAGGCACGTCGAGAGTCAACAGCAGCGGTTTTTGATTCGGGTTAATCTCACGCGAGTTGTACGCCGACGCCACGTCAAACTTCAATGCGCTACCAAGGCTACCAAAGTAGCGGTCCGTGTCGAAAAATGCGCTACAAAAGTAATTCGGCGTGTCTTCGCACTCAAGAAAGGAGCCACTGTCGCTACCACGGTTGCGGTGTGAGCACACTTTGGGCGAGCCCATGTACGCGTTGATTGGGGAGGCGCACAGATCCATCACGTGGTAACCAGACGCGTGAAGGTGCTGCTTCAGCCGTGTGTCAGCGCACAGCTGCAGCGATCCTGTGGCCAGGCACCCCTCGTAGCGCATTGCAAGTGCCGCCGCTCGGAGGGCAAAACGTGCATCGTAGTCCAATCGAGGGTAGTGCACTCTCTCCGCCTTATCGGCGAAGTGACGGTAGCACATGTCAAGCTTCCTGTACGCTGCGAGTGGGATGGACACAGCAGGACATCCACGGCGCATGTGCCGCGCAATATGGCTGGGCCACTCTACACCAATCACTGCAACGGAGCCCTGCACACGGCGCTGTGACGCGGTTCGGCTCTGCTCCTCCTCCGCACCAATGACGCGCAGCGTTGGCCTGCAGTAGGCAGAGGGGCTTGTTGACTCCAACTCCAGCAGCACCTCCGCCGCGGCGTCCTCGCACCGCTTCGACAGATTGAATTTCGTCAGCAGCTGCTTGATGCCCGCGACAACTTCAGGACTGCTCGACGCCTCGCATTTGAGCGAGATGTCGCGGATGAGCTGCTCGTCGTACGTACCGGCCGAGATCATTGCCTTTGTGGGAAAGAATGCGACGCTCGCCTGCGTGTCCTTGTCGACCCGCGTATCGCGTGCGACCTGCGAGAGCACCCACTTGCCCAGCGCCTCCTGGCTGTGACGCCACAACTTTTTCGGTTCCACGAAGCGGAGGTGCGGCGCCGTCTGCAGCGCGTCGAGAAAGTCGCGGCGGATGTCCGACCACTTCATGCACGTCAGCACCTCGCGGTGAAAACACGCAGCGGGGTGGGCCGCGTCCACCGCGTCGCCGGCGTCTGCTCGCTTCATGCCGTCTTCGCGCCGCAGCCACACGGGGGAATGAGCAAAGAGAGCAAAAGACAACAACAACAACAAAAAGAAAACAAAGAAAAAAAAACACACACATGCAGCAACACCGCAGGCCGACTTCAGGACCCCGGAGAGGCGAGGCGAGGGGGTGGTGGTGGTGGTGGTGGTTCAAAGCAACAACAACAACAAGTGGTGTCTTATCCCTTGGAGGAGAAATTCATTTCTCCCCACCTCAGCAGCACCCACAGCCGGAGCTGGATCCGGCTCTCGATGTTCTCTTCATTACCATTTTCTTTCCACCTAATGCCGTGTCGCCTGAGTCGCAACGTGTATGACGTCCCACAGATTGGTGAAGATGGAGCCTACACTATCTGCAATGACGTTCTGGATGTATTGCGCCGCCTGTGCGTTTGAAAGGTCCAGTCGCAGCTTATCCTGGACCTTCAGCAGGTTAACACGTGGATCCAGTTTGCCGTCACCCGATATCTGCGGAATTGACGCATCCACCATGAGCAGCATCATGCTAAGAATAAGCTGTGCGTGTTTTCTGATAATATTGTACGAGCTGCAACAGTATGACTTGAACTCTGTGTAGCCCTCGCTCTGTGGGCCACCCAGCGCCTCCACCATCTCCTTGTTGATCTTCATCGGCGGCGGGAACGGCTTAGGATCGTTGCCGAGAATGTACCCAAAGTCGATATGCAGCAGGCGTCCGTCGTGTGCCACGAGAATGTTCTCCAGGTGCCTGTCACCGATGCCAAGTATAAAGGTGAGCACACAGTAGCCAGCGACGCTCTTGGTGAAGCGGCCCATGGCGGCCGTGTACGCCTCTGGGGTGGGGTTGTGGGTGCGAATGTACCGCGTGATATCACGCTGTGCAATCTGAAACGTGTCAACGTTTGGTACAAGCTCCACTAGACCCTCTGTTGGCCCTGTCGCCAGCACACGGTAAGGGCTCAGGCAGAGGTCGAGCCCATCCTGCCGCAGCATCGTGTCAATGAGCTGCACGAGCTGCACTACCAGCTGGTCCTGCCGCACGTCGTCACCGACCTTAAAGATAACGCCCACCTCTGGGGATGGGAAGGACAGCGGCACAAAGCACGGTCTCGACGCCGCCACCTCATCCGATAAGAGGAAGCCGCGAGCATTGCTGCTGCCGCCGCTACCACTACCACTTCTGCCGCCACTGCCACTGCCGGTGTTGCTGCTAATGCAGTCCGGCTGCACGAGAAAAGGCACCCTGACTGGCATCTTGGCACTCTTGAACATGTAGAAGCCACTCGATGCGATGCAGTCAACGACGACACAGGGGTGTGTGGGAAGTGTCAAGGTATTCGGGTTGTCTGCGGCCCTGGCAACGTGCCCCGAGGTGCCATAGAAGAGTTCTTGAATGCCACACTTCTTCATGTCAATGAGCGACGTGGCAAGCTCGATCCGCTTGATGCGGTCACGCGGGTCCTTCATAATGGCGCGGTAGAGATTCCTCAGCACACTCATCAACTTCTGCTGCCGGCGAATGCGCTGCAGAAAGAGTGGCTGTGTCTCCTCCAGCGCGGTGAGAAGGTTTTGCATGATCAGAGAGTACCGCTCCTGCTCGGATCCACTGCGTTGATTGGTGTCTTCTGGCCTTTCCAGCAACGTCTCTACATGGATATACCAGAAGAGTGTAGAGCACAGCTCCCAACTGCCCAACGCACGGCGCAAGAGAAACTGCTCAAGTTCGCCCTTCACATCGTACCGCACAGCTTGTACAAGCTGCAGCAGGAAGCGGAGGATGCGCTCATCCGGCTGTCGTTCCAACAGACCAATGGCGTAGTTCCGCACGTGCACCACCCCACTGAAGTAGATGGAGAGGCACACCAGAGCCTGCGCAAAACTAATGGGCTTCCATTGCTGCATCAACTTGAGGGCCTCCTGTCGTTCCGCCTTATTCTTCCAGTTCACACAGCGCATGAATAGCACGAAGAAGCTGGGATCACGGGTGAGAAAAAATCGGAAACGCCAGAGAAAAATTTCGTCGTCAATCCTCAGTTCCTCCAACTGAATCAATGGCCTGCGTGCTATCTCCTGCAACTGGCGTCGCTCAAGGGGACCAGGCTGTGCGTCTGCATCAGAGATTAGAAACAGCGACTTGGACACAGTATGGGCTCTGAGCTCGCAGAGGTTCTCGTCGTTTATGCACAAGTCGATGAACGGCTGTGTCGGTGTCGCTGCAAGCGGGAAGGACTGCGCTGCTGTGGATACTTCATGCGGCACCGATAGCATAAATATTGGGAGACGATTACTCGCCACTGGGAAGGTCAAGAAAAGATTCAGTGAAACTCTATCCTCCTTAGGAGGCGTGTTACCGTCCCTGTTGCTATTGACCTCATCCTGTACCCTTCGCATCTCTGCAAGGCGCCGCTCCACTAGCTTGTCCATCCATGGCACCGACTGCATCAGGCCGTGGTGGAGGTCACGTGCAAGCCGCTCCCACCGTGGGGTTTCTGCTTTGCGTGGCGCAGCTGTAGCGGCCGCCGTCTGCAACCGGTAGCAGCGCCGTCCCGTCTTGAGCTCGCCTCTCACGGTGAAGGGATGGAACGCCACGCAGCCGACGTGTCCGTGGCGCGAATACACGCGGCACTCCACAACGGCGTCAAGCGGCACGTCGCAGACGGCGATGGGGAAGATGGTCCACTCATTGAGCGTATGGGCATCGCCACGGGTGTGCGACGACGGCAGCAAAGGCGTGATGGGCTGTCCCATGTGCATCATCTGCAGTGTGACAAAGAGCGTCTCCACCCCTTCGTGAGTCGCTTTCTGCTTCTGATGCTTCTTACTAGAGGCGTCGTTACATTCATCGAACATGTGACCTTCTGATCCTTCGCTTGCCTCTTCGTCACAAAACTGACACCCGCCACTAATTTCACGGATATACACCATAAAGTAGTCCGTGATGTCATTGGCGGCGATGAACTTGCTGCTGGGTGACACCCAATGAAACACGTCGTAGTTCTTTTGCTCCTGCAAGGCAGCAACGACGTTGCTTTCATTGGTGGCCATCCCAGCGTGGCGCAACTTGGCCCACCGGCAAGGCGCTCTATTTTTGCAGCAACGACAACAGTGTCAGAGAAGGAAGCCAGAGGAAAAAAAAAAAAGAGGAGAAAGGGAAAACTCAATTTTGAGAGTTTAGATAGCCAGCAGCAACAACAACAAGAGCAACAACATCAGCTGTACCCGGATCAGCAACCCTTGTCATTATGGCAATCGTCTATAACACTATGCCTTTCTTTAATGGTGAAGATAGCAGCCACACACACACACACACACACACACACGGAGAGAGACACATAAAATAAGAGTGTGACATCAGTAACCTGCCTCCTGCACAAGTGCAAGGTAGGAGCCAGCCACCACTCGGTTCGTCTTTTTCTTCCGCTCCACCGCGTCACTCGCAGCATCCTTGGAGGGGCGGGTGATGTGGAGCATCTCATACAGTTCGTCCCGCGCGCCGCGTACCTTCGGTGCATCACTGGCATCCCACTGCGTCCCCGCGAGGTGCTGCATTGCCCGCGAGCAGCCCTCCATCGCACCCGCCTCCTCAGCAGAGGTGAGGACCAGCAGGGCGGTGTACATGTCGGTCGCCATCTTTGCACGCACCTTCGGGTAGCGGCTTGCGAGCATCACGAGGCTGAGCGCCCACGCCGCCTCACGTGCCTCGCGGACGGCGCTGCGGCAGAGGTCACCGAGCACGCCGACAAGCGGCAACAGGACGTGAATGTTGGTGGCGAAGTGCTTCAGCTCGTGGCGCAGGATCTCCACCACGTCCATGTGGCGCGACTCGTCCAAGACACCGGCGTTGAGAAGCCGGTCAATCGTGACGCACAACGGCACCACGACGCGTTGATTGTGGGTGTACTTCGCCGCAACGGCAATCAGCACATGCGAGAGGCACACGCTATCCTCCTCGGATGCACGAAAGGCGTGGAGGAACGCGTCCATCGCGGGCTGCACGATGTGCACCGACAGTGATCCGGCAGACACCGCCAGTCCCTCCACAACACAAGGCGCGAACATTTTAGTCTGGAGGAGTGGGCGCGCCATCGCCGCGAAGACGACCTGCGGCGACGCCCAATCTGTCAATGCGTCTTCGCAGAGTACACGACGCAATACAGCAACGTCAGCCTCCTCCTCGCTGTCGGGAAGTGCGCCAGGTGTATTGGCGAGTTGCATCAGGCCAACAGCTGCTCGTCCCCGCAGCCGGTCGAGCTTCTCCATCGCCTGCTTGAGCAGCGCCTGCACAGCACGCAACGCCACCGACGGACCGCACAAGGCACAGCGCAGACCGTACTGCACCACGGCGGGGAGGGTTTCAATGGCCTCTAGACGCACGAAGGAGCCGACGTCGCCACGGCGGTCTGCGGCGTAGTCGTCAAGTGTATCTAGGATGTGCTGCACAACAAGCTCGTACAGCTCTGGTGTCAATTCTGGAGTCCCTGGAGGAATGCGAAGGAGTATCTTCCGCAAAGACCGAACAGCATTACGGCGCGACTCCGCGTCTTGCGCGTCCTTTCGATTTTCGAGCTTTGTGCCTGCCATTGTGGCGCGCAACAGGAGCAGAAAATAAACCGACTCTCCCATTTCAGGCGGTGGTGCAGCCGAAATGACGCCCCAGTGCAAAGCGCCCATTGCGAGGAGGTTCCCGCGGCGCTCCATGGGGTTGCGCTCCTCCGAGCTGCCATCGAGCATCTTCTCTAGCACCTTGTGGTGGAACGGTACGATGAATTCTCTGTAGTACGTCGCAGCGAACGTCTCGTATGCATTCACCGCGTCAAACTGCAGCCATTCGAGTATCTGCTTCCACGTGTCTTCGAAGAATTCTTGTAGCTTCCCCAGCGTCCTGGCGCGCGCGACACCACCGCCAACCTTCTGCACCTCAACGGTCTCCGGCATCTTCAGGTGGCGGCGGGCGACGGCGGCGAGCAGCTGGCAACACGCCTGCCGCACATACTCGCCGCCACGCGAGCGGAACATCCGTGCGGCGTCAACGCGCGGGATCAGTGCGGCGATGCGCGCGAGGAGCTCCTCTGGCCACACGTTGGCGTCTAACGCGTCGACGAGTTCTGCCACACCGAGGATGGCGCCGTGGCGGGTAGCGACAGTGG